CAAAGTAAGTGAAATATTTAAGGAGTGGTTTTACCAGTTCCACACCCCCACTGAGCTTCCACAGCTAAGCAGGGATTCAAACACAGCCTCCTGAGTCCTAGTCCATCACTCTATGCAGTGCACCACACTGGGTATCTGTCTGTCTGCTCATGAACATATACCCATGTTTCTCAAAATACCTGTTTCATTAATTCCATTAGTCACTAGCAAGTATGGTATTTATAATTTGTTTATTTATAAGCACCCTTAATATAATCTTCAAGATTTAAAAACAGTTTGATCAATAGCTTAATTGCTAGAGGAGACCCAATGATTCAATGAGATTTACATACATGTTCACATGCCATTAAGCCACTGATTCAGTGGGTCTGCTATTAGCTGTGACCAGCAGAAGGATAACAGCCTTAATGTTTACTGCAAAGGCAACAAATAATTTAAATAGAATATAAAAGCATTTTTGTTTTTAACAGGGAGGTGAAAATCCAGAAAAACTATCCTAAATTTATCTTCACATGACTGACATACAAATGAAAGTCTGAAGTGACTACAATATTTGTTTTCCATAATAGTAGTTTAAGGAGTAATCTCATAATCTGAAAAAGAAAACAAAACTTGTTTTAGAATGTACAAATTGGAACGTTTTACTAAAAGGGATTGGGTTTTTTTCTCTCTAGCCTAGATTTTCTCCCCACCAATTAAAATAGTATTACTCATTTTGGTATAATAACATTACAAAGAAGTCATACATACCAATAGTTTTCTGGAGGCAAATCATGAAGGCATTCCTGTTTACATCTTTTTCTTGAAGTTCTTCTACCTCCCTGTGGCAATAATATTTTGAAAATTAAAAGGAGACTTTGCCTGTGCCACAGGGAGGATTTCTGATGTGATGTCAAAAACATAGAAAAATTCAAAATTATTTAATAGTATCAGCTTATCTTTAAAAAAAATTCTCCCATGATGTCTTTGTTCTGAAAATATCAAATTGACACTAATTATGGTACAACTAATCAAAACTCAAATAGATGGAAAATCATATATCAGCCATCTGATTAAGGAACATTTTTCAAAATACTGTAAATAAATCTGATGACTAGTTTTATTTCGTCTTATGAAGTTTCAACCCTAACTTAGACAGTTATATGGAAAGTTCAATTAATATGATGTAACATTCTACAAAAACACTCTTCATGAAAAGGTTTCGTGAGATGGATCCAAAGTGTGAGCCTTTGAAGAGGCCCACTATGAAGAGGTCACTGGACACTCCAGCTGGAGGAAAGGAGGCAGCAATTTTTAAGATTTCCTCTTTCTCCCAGAGACTGTCCCATCACCTTCCACACTGTTTCAGAGTATCTCCCAGCTTTTCAGAGGCTGAAAGGGCGAGGACAGTGCTGACAAAAATCACCATTCCTCATCCTTATGTGCTAGTGGCCCATAAATGGAATTCCATTCAGCGGAAGTTTGAATATAATCCACCGAATCATTTTGAGAAGAGAAAGATGCACATTCTTCTCTCAATCATAGCTACAAAATAGTTCAAATAAAAAACAGTTTGCTGTATAAATAAAAGGCTGACTTACTGTGTACACAGAAAAATAGTTTAATTTTACTTATGCCACAACCATAGGAGTCAAATGTGCATAATAAATTCACAAGAAAAAAGGTCATTCAAAACCACAGAAATTGAAGAAATTAAACAAAGAATGGAAGTTAAGGATCAGAAACTTATTTTTTCTGGAATATGTTTTTTTTGTGTGTGTGTGTTTTTCTATCATCTGTATGAGGAGGAGGATGAAGAAAAGAAACGCTAAATCAAGGTCAAGGAAAATTATGAAAAAGTACTAGATACAGAACTCCTATGCAGGGTAGATTTGATTTAAATTCAATTTAAACCACATTTTGAATTTTTAAAAAATCAGATATTTGGATGATTTAGACAAAAAAAAATTTTTTTTATTTCAATCATGATTTAAATTGATCTTTTTTTAAAAAAAATCATTGATTCTATCCACCTTGGTCCTATGTCTTTGAAGTATTCTCTGGCTTTGGGGCCTCTAAAGTTCTATCCATATTGTTTAATACAATTGTAAATGCTAAAGACTTCCCAAACCAAGATTCCTATGTTTGTCAATTCCACTTTACAAGACAATAGATTGCTTCCAAATGGGGCTTTTATTGTGCAATGTTCCTGCCTCCTTCATAGAACTGTCCAGGACATCCAGATGTTACAATTTCCCATTTGTAACCCTCCTATGCTTTCCTATTCTTCTTCCATCTTTTCTTCTCACCATAAAAATACTTTAAGGAGGGAAAGATGGATTGGTTGCACAATGTATTTTGACTGATAGCACTGAGAGCCATCCATCTGGAAGCACTTCAGCACGCAAAACGTAAGTTACAAAATCATAGTGGAAGGGGAACTGGCATACAGAATATCCACTTTCGTTGAAATATTAGCCTAATACCAGTATCAAAATAAAATCTCTTCATTTTTCTCACACTTTAAAGATTGTTTTTTAATGGCTGACATAATATTTACTGTCAATATTCTAAGAGCAACAATTCACAGGGAAACCTTTAAAATAGACAGTATTATAAGACATTTCTTCAGGAAGTTTATTTTAAAATGTGTATCAGAAAATATTACTTTTAGAAAGTGTACTGTAGAAAGAGACATTTGCTCCCACTCAATGGTACTTCTAATGTTTGAAAAACATTCCTCCCTCATGCTTGTATGATTACTTTTAATTCTTTTCTCTTTATATTATAAATAACCTGTGTTATGACAGAGAAGGGTTCTACTTGGAAAACCAAAATGTCATGTTCTTGAATCCTAATCATAGAGTCAGAATGAATAAAGTACTAATGCAGGACTTTATTTTCCAGAACTGGCAATATCATTAACTTTTCAGATAGCAAAATATTGATAGCAAGTTTTCTCCAACAGTAAGCTCTAACTACAGCATACTAAAAACCTGTCTAAAATGTGCAGTATAAGCAACTCAGCTGAATGAAGACTTTATATTAAATGCAGAAAGACCTTCCAGACAAGCACTATTGATCATGGCTGGGTGTCACAGATTAGGGGCAAGTTACTAGGCCATAAGCATTACCCTTTAGCTTATACTATTTTATCAATGGATCACTTACTACACAACCAACGAGGAGAGAGAAAAGAGAATAAATTATAGGATCTAAATCCAATTGCTAGTCCCAAACATAGTAGAAGTCATGAATCAATGGGATTTACAAGACCGATGTTACTCAGGATTCAGTAACTGATTTAAGCAGTCTGCATTTTAGTTGGGATTCACAATTGGGTTTAAGCCTTGGCAGTTTTACTCTGTTATCTTAGAGCAAATCAAGACCTTTAAAGTACAGATTTACAGCCTCACTGTGTTTACATCATAACTTCTGTGATCTAGACACACCTCTTGAACTAGAATCATAAGGTAGAAACAAGTCCCTCCAAACTGTAAGGTGAGCATTCTGCCACATCAGGAAAAGGGAACATGTGCTTTTACAAATTTTTTGAACTGCAGCTCCCATCATTTACCCCCATTGGCTATTCTGTCTAGGACTGAAGGAGTTAAAGTCCAACAAGCATTTGAAGAAATTCACTATCCCTGTTCTATATGAAATATATTCATAGCCAACAATCAGATTAAAAATCTCTTGTTAAAACAGTTATTGGCCATATGTCAGTATGTTTAATTATCAATAATCTTACAGTGGTGCCTCGCACAATGATGTTAATTGGTTCCAAAAAAAAAAAAACGTTCTGTGAAAACATCATTCTGTGAAACACCATTTCCCATAGGAATGCATTGAAAACTGGTTAATCCGTTCCAATTGGAACGGATTGCCGTCCTTGAGCGAAAATCCCCATAGGAAACATCGTTGTGTGAAACAATGTATCCCCCATTCAAATGCATTGAAGCCGACTCAATGCATTTGAATGGCATTCCGATGTCCGTTTTCGCTCCTGTAAAAGTGCCGTAAACTGTTTGAAACCTGTTTTAAATGCTTGGCATCGATAGTCCAGCTTGTGAAACGTATGCAAACTTAATTTGGTGTTGTTCTGAGTTTTCGTTAATTTTCGGTGAATTTTTTTATTCTCCATTGAAAGCCATTGAACGGACCGTCCAATGCTTCTCAATGAGAGAGAAAAAAATTCACCAAAAATTAACGAAGACTCAGAACAACACCAAATTAAGTTTGCATACGTTTCACAAGCTGGACTATCGATGCCAAGCATTTAAAACAGGTTTCAAACAGTTTAAGGCACTTTTAAATGAGTGAAAAGAGACATCATTGTGCAAAAATTCCCCATAGGAAACATCGTTGTGTGAGGCGGCAAATTTTTCAGAAAAAGCCATTGTTGTGTGAATTTATCGTTGTGTGAGGCACTCGTCGTGCGAGGCACCACTGTATTGGTTACATATTTCAAAATTTCAATCACGATGCCTTGAGGAGTCTGAAAGAAACAGTTCTTGAGTAGCCTTGCTTTGTGAAATTTTAGGTTACCATTCACTGTAAAAGAAAATATTTCATATTTTCATTCAGTGACACTTGGGAATAAAAAGAATTCCTACTACAACAATATATCAAAGTGATTTAAAAATAAAGAATAGTCAGTATTGAAATAACATCCACATTTAAATACATATTGATACCGATTTCAGCTATGCCCTGTCAGTTCTCTAATAATGAGAAAAGAAACAACAAAAAATCTCATGCTAAGATGCAAAATGTCTACTAGTGTGGAATACAAACTATGAGAAAATACCTGTAAGCTTCTTCAGGCTTTATGCAACAAAGGAAATGGCACATTTGGTCAAGGTCTACTGCAGAAAGTTCTTTTAACATTCTCAGGTGCTGCTTCCCTCCACTCACCCCCCTTTACTAGCTGTTCCCATTAAACGGAAGGAAGAAAAAACTGTGCAATTAAAATTTAAGTGAAGTACACCATAGCAAAGTTACTATGTTGTAAAGTCTACCTGGTTTCACAGTTTCCGTCTCAACTTCTTGTTCTTCTGCAACATCTTGTAGCAGGTAAGTTTCATCATCATAAACAAAGATCTGTGCAGCATATCCTTGTTCTATCCTGGCACTTGGTACTGGCTCTACAATCACTGCTGGATATTCAGAGACTGGCTCATTCTCCTGTAGGACATCATGGGGGGGATGTTAATATTTCCCCATTTATTTTCACAATCCCTTCTCCCCCCTTGCACATTTATGTTTAATATGCAAGCACTACCACACATAATGAACAAGCAGCATCCCATTTTCATAACCCTGGTATTTGCCAAGGTATATAACTGAAAAATTAGAACTTAAATTAAGGACACAATCCAATTACCACTGATTTCAGTATGACAGGAAAATATATGCCCATAATTTGAGCCTTTCAGTACTGCTTATTGAATGTTTGCCAGATATTTGCCATTACAAACTTAGTTTGGAGAACAGGCCAGTGCAGGAACTATACGTTGTCCTGTCGTGTTCTAAATATAAGTTATTTTAGAAAGCAAACATTAAAATCTTCTCAATAAGCACATAGAATCTGAGACACAGATTTCCCCCAGACAAAATTTTGACTTACTAGGTATCACAGAGTTCTTCACTTTCTGTCTGCCAAAGCTAAGTCTCTCCCTTACAACATGCTCCCCTAGTATCTACAATCAATATTTACAAAGACTGCTTTAAAAAACAGGTTGTACGTCATTTTCTGACCTTGCCTTGAATTTCTCCTCCATTGCTGTCAAACTCCAGACCTGAACCGCCACTGTCAACTACTGCTGATGTCATTGTGCATTCCCTGGAAGGCTTACAAGGCTGACAGCAAAGTTTGTAGATCTTCTCAGCAACCAAAAGCTTGAAATACAGTAGAATATTCCCAAAATTCAACTTCTCTAATATTGTACTGGGAACAGAAGTTCTGAAAAAGAACATAAATAAAAAGCGCTTGTATATTCAGTAGTTCAATATGTGCTACTGGTGCCAGAAATGTATGCAACTGAACATGGGGTACTGGTTAGTATTAATGACAACAAGTGTTACTTTTTGTACACTGAATGTGACTGATTTACTATCATATGATAAATTTTGTTCTTAATAAATGGAGGGCTCATTCCCTTGTAATTAGACTAACTAGAGCTGTGAGCCTTTCGCAGATGTGTAAAGTCAAAAGTAAACTAAAGAGGTAGAAAAACAGAAATTGTTTGGTATCCCTGCTGCACTTGATGAACAGAAGCAATGTGGATCAAGCCATGCACACTGTAAAGCTGAATAAACACATAGATTGCTTCATAGAGGTTCCATATTTTTTACATTTTGGTACCAGACTTAAAATTGTGAAATTCTAAGCACAAGTAAGTGTAAGACAAGAACAAAGGGGGAACAAAGAAGATTTCACCAACAAACCTTTCTCACTAAAATTGCATCAGCAGCAGAAGGCAGCTTTTCTCTGCATATTAAGGTCTCAGGAAAAGGAAAAAGTAAGTGTAAAGAGGATATCAAAGGATACGCTTGTTCTGAATCCAAATTATTTCCCTGTTTGTTTAATTGACTGAAAACTATATCCTGCTGCCTAAAACAACTAAGGAGAAGACAGTGACCAAGAGAAAGCCAGGGAGTCTTACTAGCCCAGTTCAATACATGTGCTTCTTGCATGAATCAAATAATGGTGAGTTCTGCAACACAATTCTCACAGTACTACACCCAAGGGCCATGCTTGTGCACACCCTTCTGCTGCCACATATATTGTCCAGTAGCATGCAGTGCATATACACAACCCTTGCCTGAGGAGATGTGGAGAAGCCTTTCTGATCTATTGCTATTTTTTTCCAAAGATTAAAAACAATCTTGACCATTGGTAGAGACCTTCTCCTATCCTTCATCTCCCACTTAGCCATACTCAGTGTCCCTTAAGGCAGTGGTCCCCAACCTTGGGCCTCCAGATGTTCTTGGACTTCAACTCCCAGAAATCCTGGCCAGCAGAGGTGGTGGTGAAGGCTTCTGGGAGCTGTAGTCTAAGAACATCTGGAGGCCAAAGGTTGGGGACCACTGCCTTAAGGTAGCCAATTAGTTTTTTAAAAAGCAATTGGCTTGGAGATGCATTTATATATAACTACTTAAACTCATTACATTACATTATATTAAAGACAGATTACAACAATTTTCAGAAACCTTTGAAAGGGCAGCCAACTTAATGGGTTGCTGCGGAAAAAAACAGTCTTACAACACCTTAAAGACTAATATGTTTTGTTGACTATAGTACACTTCAAATATACAGTACCTGAGGAAGTGAGGTGCATTTCATGAGCGGTTATGTGAAATAAACTAATTATTAGGAAATTAAACAATTTCATAAACCCCCAGATTTCCCTGCTCTTCCATCCACATTTTGATTTTCCTAGATTTTGATCTACACTATATCATCCAATAATATTATTCTCAGGTGCACCTATATAATTTTTGTCTTTTTATCTTGCTTTTATGTAGCTTGTTAACAAAGAGTCTTGTGGCTTTTTTAAAAATAACACATTATCATGACATAAGCTTTCATAGATTATAGTCCACTTCAGTAATGCATGACTTGTTCAGAACTTCAAAGTTGTACAGTACGTTGTGAATGAATAGCTAAACGTAGTTGGGGTGGGACTCTAGACCAGTGGTTAGAGAACAGGGGTCAATTACCCCAAATGGAGTAAAAATGAAAATCCTGGGGTTAATGAGGACGCGACCCTAACCCCTTCCTTCCTCCTCCTCTTCTGCTCAGAGGCAGGTCCCTGGCTGCCCCTTCCTGCCCCCTTTTCTGGCCTGGCTGCAACCGAGCCACGGTGGATGGCGGCCAGTGACGGGCCCCAATTGGCAGTGTACGGCAGCCAAGGTGGCGGTGGTGGGGCCAGCCATGGTGGAGGGCAAGGCCAGGGCACCCCGGCCAGGGGAAGTCTCTCCTTCCAGTGCCCGGAGAAGTGGATCATAGCGGAGGGGAGTGGCCAGGCTCAACCTCCTGGCTCTGGGACGCCGCCCCATGCCCCATCCGAGCCCATCAGGCGGCAGCAGCGCTCGCCCAGCCGCATGGCTTCCTTCGGCAGTGCCTCCATGGCCGGGCCTGGCAGAGCCTCTCGCCCTCCATGTGGCAGCTGTCATAGCACTTCAACGGGGAGGCCCGCCAGAGCCCTGACACCAAGGCCCGACGTGGCCGCCCTGGCGAGCAGCCGTTGCTGCCGGAGCGGTAGGCAGTGTCGCGCACCCCCAGTGGGTGAGCCACTTGCTGCTCTTCAACGGCTGCCCAGGAGCCACCCACTGGTGGAGAAAGTGATCCACCCCCGCAGTGCCAAGGACTGAGCGCAGCCTCGCCAGGCAGAGGAGGAGAAGGTGGTGGTGGTGCTCAACTGGCCGCACGTGACCGAGATCCTTTCAAATCAAGGGGGTATTGTCGGCGTATATAAATTTTTTAGGGGGTAAAAGGTAAAAAAGTTCCCTGACCCCTGCTCTAGACAGTGATGTCACTAGGAACCAAAACACAGATGTATTCACTCTGACAATTATATTTAGATATCTGATTTGCTTCCTCTAGAATGGCATTATTTTAACTAATTTTTAATATAGTTTTACTGCACTAGGACTGTTCATTCTATAGGCAGCATCCTTTTAAACAACTACATAGGCCCTTTTAATAAATTAAATAATGTAACAGGAAAGTTATTAAACCTTAAACAATCACTTAATTTCACCTACTCTTCTAAAATTCTCTGATTGGGGACACATAATAATAACACCATTTGTTCACATATCTCAGAATTGTTACAAGCTTCTAAATACAATCTTTCCTTGTGAAATCAAACATCAACTATAATGCATTTTAAAGGAAATACAAAAGAAGTTGCATATACTTGTACCATTTTTCAATTACAGTAACTCATAAGACAGGAGCTTTAATACAGATCAGGAAATCTACAGCTTAACTGAAACACAACACTGCTTCACAAGGAGCCTTAAGGGGACTGGAAAAAGAATGGGGTGGTGTTCTACTCCTGCCCTTGACTGGACCAGGAATACAAGAGAGTGACCTTTCAGTAGGCCTGTGGTTGCCAACTTTGGGTAACCCAGGTGGGTCTTGGACTGCCAGAAATCCCAACCAGCACAGCTGGTAATGAAGGCTTCTGGAAATTACAGTCCAGGAACACTTGGGTTACCCAAGAATAGGAACCACAACTTCTAGGCTATGTGCTTTTGAGGAGAAATGCATAGCTCTAGGACTTTCAACTCCTTTTTTTTTACCAATTGTTTTCGTAAGGGGGCGCATTTAGGCTGACATAAGGAAGAGGCAAATACTGAGATACATGGATTTCATAGAGGGCCTCCTATATTTCCCCATATAACTGAAGGCTTGGGTCTAACACCTGCTTTCCAAAGCAAATCTAATAGCAAAGCATCAGAGTTACTATTACTCATATTAGCATTTGCTTTTGCAGCCAGAGAAAAGAAAGGATCAAAGGAAAAATTATATGACAATAGCAGAAAGCTACTCTTTTTAGCAATGTGTCAAAGTTGTGGTGGCGCTGTGGGTTAAACCGCAGAAGCCTCTGTGCTGCAAGGTCAGAAGACCTGCAGTCGTAAGATAGAATTCACACAACGGAGTGAGCCCCCATCGCTTGTCCCAGCTCCCACCAACCTAGTGGTTCGAAAGCATGTAAATGCAAGTAGATAAATGGGTACCACCACGGTGGGAAGGTAATGGTGTTCCGTGTCTAGTCACACTGGCCACGTGACCACGGAAGATTGTCCTTGGACAAACACTAGCTCTATGGGTTGGAAACAGAGATGGGCACTGCCCCCTAGAGTCGGACACGACTGGACAAAATTGTCAAGGGGAACCTTTACCTTTACCTTACAAAGTTTAGTTGTAAATATCAAGGCTTCCTCATTTTCCCTCACCATTACGGCAACAGCAGATATTTATTTTGTGTTTTGTGAAAAATATATTATATTTAGCTTTCAGCATAGCATCTACTATCATGCCAGGAAGATTTTCTACCATTAAACATTCCACTAAAGATTTCACTGCTTGCAACTATCAGAGAATACTCATATGAGGCTTTATTTGATTCTTCCACTTGGTGTGTGATCTTGGCCAAAGCCAACAGAGACATCCAATGACAAAACTGCTTCAGTCAGCAAAATTAGCAGGGTGGTGTTCTTCTCTCCCCACACTACCCCTGAATCCACAGTCCTCCATAGCTAGTTCTGGGATAGCACCAGCATCTGCAGACAAGAAGTGAGAGGAAGAGTTCCATTGTGCTACACCACTAGTTCCTGGCCCTCAGATTTAATTCCATCTTCACTTAAACGAAAACTGCCATTTTATCTTTACTGCATCCATCCCAACTAAGGAACCTGGTATGCACCACACAAAACAATGAACAGATCTCTTAAGGTGCAATCAGTTTTTATATTTTCAGAAACGGAGACCTGTCATTGATTCTTTATCCCAGTATATACTGTTAGGTGCAACCTATTACCTACAAATCCACCTAGGATTAGTTCCATATGCAATCTCTCTCTTAGGGCTAGGGCTAACTATTTATATCTCATTCCGACCACCTGACTTAATTTTTGGACCATTCTGTCTCCCCTCCTCCATGCCTTATTTTTTTGTGTCACCTGTTCTGATTAAGAGCTGGTGAACTCAAATCCCTGCATTACTGTGATATTTGGGTCGGTCCTTAATAAAGGTATTACCGAATTGTAGGTTTTGGAAGACACCCTCCTTTCTAATGAATCTTGTCCCTCAAGTCCTCCAGAAACTGTAGAAAATGCAAGAGTGGTCTCCTTTCTGTAACTACATTGCCCAGAAGCATTCCTATGCCAAAAGGAACAGACTCCAAGTGAAGTCTGTGCATCACAGCATAACAGAGGATATGGAAGCAG